AGGGACTGTTTTTTCACTTCTTTGTATCCCCTTCAATTAGCACAGTCTGGAACACACTAAGCGCTCAGGAAATACTTGCTGATTGAATACAAGCTCCCTGAAAGCAGGCGTTGGCTCTGGTTATGTTCTGAATGCCCAACCACAGGCAGTTATGAAGGGCTTGCTACGTTCAAAGCACTGTGCTACGTGGGCAGCTGAAAAGACAAACAGAAACCAGCTCTTGTCCTCAAGGAGCTTACGTTCCAGTGTCCTCTCCACACTAGTGTCTATACACACGTGTATAAGATTATACATGAGGCAGTTTGGGGGAGGGGAGAGGTCTCAGGAAAGTCTTCAGGAAGAAGGCAGCTCTTGGGCTGAATCTTGAAGGAAAAACCCGGATTCCAAGAGGCAAAGAAGGCGAGAAGGGAGTGCATTACAGATGTGGAGGACAGCTGGGGCAAAGGCCTGGAGGTGGGAGATGGGACATGACATGATCACACCGGGAAAATCATTCTGCACCTGTGTGAAGGATGTACTAGAGGGGGACAGGGCTGAGGCAGAGAGACCAGAAAACAGGGCAGGGAAGAGGCTGAACAAGGGCGGTCCCTCTGTGAGTGGGAAAAGGGGGACATGACAAGATGTTGTGGGGGTAGAAACAAGATATGGTCATTGATTGGCTGTGTGTGTGGTGAGTGAGAGGGTCGAGGATGAGCCCAGGGTATCTTCCAACAGAGAAGTTGGGAAGAAGGGAAGGTTTGGGGGAGAAAGAGGCTAAGTTTTCTTTGGACCCATTGAGTTTGAGATGCCACTGAGACTTCGGGTTTGGAATATCCAATAAGCATCTGGTGGGCTTGGAAGACTGCCCAAGACTGGACAGAGATCATCAGCATGGAGAATGAAATTCAAATCATGGAAGGCGGTGAGGTCATTGAAAGAGACAGAGAGAAAGAGACACAGAGAGAGAGACAGAGACAGAGTGAGAGAAAGAGACAGAGAGACAGAAAGAGACAGAGGGAGAGAGAGAGAAAGCGAGAGATGGGGGGAGAGGAAGGGGAGAGGGGGGGAAAGAGAGAGAGAGAGAGAGAGAGAGAGAGAGAGAGAGAGACAGACAGACAGACAAGGAAAGAAGAGAAGCAGGCCCAAGACAACCCCTTGGAGGTGAGTGGATGTAACATGGGTGACGAATCAGCAAAGGAGAATGGGAGGGACTGGTCAGACCCACAGGAGGCAAACCAGGAGAGAGCAGAGCCTGGAAATGCTGTTGTTCGTCCTTCATTTTAGAAGAGGACCAGTGACTCAGGAGGGGGATGTTTTGACTTGTGAGTGAATTGGATTTTAAAAGAGGCAGTGTTATGCAAAGTCATCAGCCCCACTCTCTCCTCCAGACTCAGAGTATGCTAGAGAAGAAGGTGGTCAGCGGTGTCAAGTGCTACAGAGAGGAAGGCCACAGCTGTGCAATGTAAGGGAGCATTCATCCCCCAGCCACCAGCTGAGCAGTGGCAGGGCTGGCTCCTGGCCATCTGCTGCATGGGCCCGAGTGAGGACTTTCTAGCATGGAGCTTGTCCTCTCTCCAAGTGGCCTTTGAGACACAAGGGGGTCACCCCCTTGTAGGAAGAGGCCTGTGGGAGGGGGGCTTCAGAGGAGGAATCCACCATTCTCTGAACAACAGCTCCCTTTACCATCTCAAAAGGCCTTCCCAGGCTTTATTCAAGTCAACCAGCCTTTCTTTGGTGTCTCCATTGGTACTTTGCTCCCCATCGGGCAGATGGACAGGACGGATTGACTAGCCCTCCTTGGACAGATGGACAACTGAGACCCGAGATGTCAAAGTCAAGTGATTTGCCAAGAGTTCCAGCCTTGGAGCTGGAAGGGACCGTGGGAGCCATTGTGTCTGACCACCCCATTATACAGAGGAAGAAACTGAGGCTTAGAAGGTGACTGGAACCACAGCTTTAAAGCTGGCAGGGTCTTCAGGGGCCACATTGCCCACCCCTTTCATTGTATAGGTGAGGAGAAATGGGTTAGACTGATCAGAGCGACACTCAGAGCTGAGGGACCCCCTCCTCCATTTTACTGGGGAGGAAACTGGGCTCAACAGAGGATGTGATTTGCTCAAGGTCATAGGGGTCACAAGGGGCCAGGTGGGATTTGAACCCAAATACCCAGTTTCCATGTACTCTAGCTTTTCCTCTTGCCCAAGGTCACATGGCTATTTCAACAACGAGCCTGGGTCTGGGCATGAGGTTTATCTGCTGCCGTTGTCTCTCTCCAAGCCCACCCCAATGCTCTCTGGGAAACCTAGCCCCCCATCAGATCCTCTCCCCCTAAGCCCAAGGAGGGCCCCCATCAGTCAGTGCTTGCCCCTTCTTAATCCCAGGGGACAGGATTGCCCTGGGAAGCTGCTGCTAATTTTGAAACCGTATCTCCAAATCGGACTATTTATAAGCCCAAGGTCTTTGTGACTTTAATAAAAAAAAAAAAAAGGGGGGGACGTCTAAAGCCGCAGTGATAGAATGCTCTGGCACCTTCTCTGACATCAGGGGCCGATAAGGCCCCTTATCTAAGGCCTGTGCCTCAGCGAAGGTCTCCTCTGCCAGATAACTCCTCCGCAGCTGTCGATAGACCCTTTCAGAGCCTAGGATTTAGATAAAGGAAAATGTGACAGGAGGGGGAGAAGAGAGAGAGAGAGAAAAGAAAGAACTTTCAAAGTCTGAGAATGAATTGAGTTTACCCGGCTTGCCTTGAGAGAACAATGAATAAAAGATGGACGGTGGAAGCCTGCAGCCTGGATTTTTTTTATTAAAAGACTAGGGGGAAATCTGTGGGTTAGTCCCAGCCTCTATTTGTCATCTTCCCCTGCCCCCTGGTCAGCTCCAGGGCTGCTGGGAGGGGGCCCCCTGGAGAGTGGGGCCCCCATCAAAGACAGGTCTGGCTAGAGACCAGCTTCCTGCCCGGGGTTAATCTGATCCCCATGGGGAGGGGGACAAGCAAGGAAAAAAAAAACAAGAAAAGAAACAGAAGCTTCTCTCCCAAGCATAAACCCATTCTAACTGTAGCCAACACCTGCTGGCCTTAGCCAAGTCTGATGGTCTCTGAATCAGGGGTTTTGGGAAGGGGTAGAAAGATGAGAACAAGGAAAAAAAGAGGGGGCAGATTCTTCCAGACCATCCCAGGAGAGCAGGAGTTCATGGCTGGAGAGCAATGATAATCTTAACCGTGTGACCTTGGACAAACAATTGCCCTGGTGAGGCCTCAGCTTTTCCCAGTAAGATGAAGAAGGAAGGGGGTGGGACTGGCTGATACTGTTAGACGCTTATGGACCACAGTTTCCTGGAGCTGGGAGGCCTCCAAGATCTCTCCTAATTCTAGCGCCATGAGCATATAAATAAAGGGTCACTCTCCCTGCTTTTCCACAAAGGATACACCCAAGTCATGCCAGACAGATGAGAAATGAGGGGTATTGATAAGGGCTCTTCTTATCACACATTAAGTAAAACATTGACCAAATCCCCATAAAAAGCAATGCTCCATCCAAATGGTGGCTACTCAGATCTCTCTCTGTCTCTCTGATTAATAAGCATTTATTAAGTGCCTACTGTGTGCCAGGCACCATGAATACAAATGCAAAGAATGAAATAATCCCAATTTTCTAAAAGTTTATATTCTAATGGGGAGACAGCAGGCACAGAGAATGGTTCCCCGCCCTCCCCCCCCCTTAGAACATAAGTTGGTAGACAGCCCGGGGCTCAGCACAGGACCTAGCACACAGTAGGTGCTTAATAAAGTGCTTGTAGTCCTGTAGTCCTGGGGCTTCAAGTTGAGTGTCAAGAGATTTGGAGGCGGAAGGTGGCTGAACTCAGAGGTCATCTGTTCCAACCCTTTCATTTTTAAAGATGAAAAAACTATATGACATGAGAACCAGAAAAATAAAATCATTAAATTGTCATTAGCTAATTCCATCCATAGGATTATAGACCCAGAGATAGAAGGTCTAAGGATAAATAAGTCTGACCCTCTCATTCTTCAGATGATGCCCTTTAAGGTGTCGAGTCAACAAACATTTACTAAGGGCCTACTACACGCTGGGCACCATGCTAAGCACTGGGTTTACAAAGGGTGGTCCCTGTGCATGGAGCCCACGGACCAAGGGGGCAGACAACGTGAGAAAAATATGTAATACAAGATCTATGCAGGTAAATTGGAGATAACTGACTGAGGGAAGGCACTGAGACTGGGTCACGCTTCTTGTGGAAGGGGCGGGCTGTAGGTGACCGTGAGGGCAGCCAGGGCAGCCTGGAGGACCGCCAGGGAAAATGGTGGGTGTTGAGACCGAGGAGGCCAAGCCAGCGCCGCCGGGCTGCAGAAGAGGGAGGAGTGAGGAAGGCAGAACAACACAGGACAGGTTTTGAGGGACCAAAGTAGGAAGGGCTTTAAGAGCCAGAGGGTTTTCTGTTTGATCCTGGAGGTCATAGGGAGAGGCTGAAATGGGGGAGAAGAATGTCAGGGTCCACGGCGGAATGGAGGATGGTCCAGAGAGGCGAGAAACTTGAGGTGACCAGGACCAGAGGTGGGATTTGAACCCAGATCCTTCTGTGGAGCCTATCTCCCAATCCCTTCATCATATTGAGAAGCAAACTGAGGCCCAGTGGTGGTCTAAGGTAGAACAGATAATAAGAGTTAGGATTTGAACGCAGGTCTTCTGACCTGAGCTCCTATAATACACCCTGTTGCTTCCCTCAATTAAACACACATGCATTGAGGGCTTCCTGCGCGTGGAACACTTGGAGCAACAGTGGGGACACAGCTTTCAAAATGACCAAGTCCCTGCCCGCAAGGAGCTTATAATCTACCATGGACAAATATCCTACGGTTGTCCCAGAATGTGCTGGGGTAGGTCAGGGAGACTTTGTGAGATCAGGGACTGCTTTGTTTTATGCCTGGCGTATTCTAGAGGCAGCCTTGCATCAGATCCCAGCTGGGCAGCTCCCTTCACCTGTCCCAGGCTCAGTGTCCTCACCTGTAAAACGGGAACAATACTAGGACCGCTCTCCTCCTCCCCAGGGCTGCTGTGAGGATCAGATGGGACGTCCAGAATGTGCTCTGCCCACATCAGAGGCTGTACAGTCAGCTAGCAGTCTGTCAAGCCCTTACCCAGCAATCTGTCATATTAGAAAGAAGCCAACACAGCCCCAGTTCCTTTTTCTTGGCCCTAAATGAATACAGATATAGATAGATATAGATAGATAGATAGATAATCATTCTGCCCTTTTTACAGATGAGGAAAGAGGCAGACAGAGGTCAAGTGACAGCGAGCCAGGGTCTGAAGCTGGATTTGAACTTAGACCAGGGCTCTCTATCCACCAAGCCACCTAGCCACCTATGAAGGGTCTGTGAGATGCTTGAGGCGGCAGCAGCGACCCCTGGTCAGCCAGGCTGCCCTGGACAGTAGGTCCCCCCTCCCCCTCCCCAAATCCAGAGGGCAAGTGAGTCAATTAGCAGAGGTGGCTGCCTGTGGCAGAATGAGTTAATACAGAACAGGAAAGGTCACTCCTTGGTAAATTATGAGAAAGCATAAAATCCAACCTGGAGCCCGAGTTGGGCAGACACCTTGCCAAGGGGCTCCCATAAAAATCAAGGGCCAGACCAGCCTTCCCTCTCTTCCTGGAGAGCTTCTGCTCTCCCTTCCTGCCCCCCCTCCTTTGCCTTCGCCTCCCCCTCCCTGCTCCCTTCCCCCTTCCCTGTTCTGAGCCCCAGGCCTTTCAGGGCACCCTGTTAATAATTAAATGTTAATCTAAAAAGCAATTTGAGCTGCGGGGCTCCGCAGATCTGGTTAGAGATTACATTAGCATAGAAGCAGCAGGGGCAATTTTCCTTAACCCCTCTCTCCTGATCTTTAAAGTCCACCAATCTCTGAGTGGCACCCACGATGTTGGTCCTGATGAAAATGGGAGCCTGGGTTGTCAGGGCAGAGGAGCACCATGAGAAGAAAAGGGGATATTTTCCAGCTCCAGATGTGGGCAGACTCAGGAGGGGAGTCCCGGGGGACAGGGGAGGGGATGACAAAACATTCCTCGTTGTCCCCCTTCCTCCCATCTCCTACTCGCACCTGCCCTTCTCCCTAACCTCCTGGTCAAGTATTAGTTAGACCCAGAAGGCACGTCAGAGATCCCCAACACTCATTTTACAGATGAGGAAACTAAAGCCAGGAAGGCCAAGTCACTTGCCCCTGGTCATGGTTAGGAAGAGTACGGAGAAGCTGGGTTTGATCAGAATTGTACTTCTTATTAGCTGCGGCGAGCCTTTGGATAAGTCATGGAATGAGCCCACAGGGCCTCAAAATCACATCATCACAAAGGGCCTGTAGCCAAGCCAGCGTCTGAGCAAGAATCCTCAAGGCTGGTTACCCAGCACCCTCATCTCGCTTTTGGCCAGCTCCAGAAGGGATCCACATTGTGGCTCTGCCACTGGGGGTATGATCATAGATTCAGAGGTCACTGAGTCCAACTCCCTGATTTTACAAATGAGGAAACTGAGGCCCAAGGACACCCAGAGAGTAACTACTGTCAAAGGTCAAATTTGAACTTTGGTCGTCTGATGACAAATGCCCGGAGGGCCCTTGGAATAGAGAACATCCTTAAAACAGAATGCAGGACAGAGACCCAGAGAGCCAGCCTCAGAGGCCATCTCCTAGTGCAATCCCTGGCTAGAGAGAAGAAAGTCTCTTCTTCCCCCTTCTTGCAAGATTCTGCAGTTCACTAGCCTGCTCTCATCCCAGCATGCAGGAGCAGGAGGCTGCCCCATCCAGCCCCCTCCAGTGCCCAGAGGGACGGCAGCAGGGGGCTCTCCTTCTCCCTCCCTGACCCCCTCCCCCCTCCCTCGGAGAGGCCATGCTGGCCCGAGATCTCAATTAACCAGGGACCTGGCTGGGGCTTCTGGCTCTGGCTTTGTCTTTGGTTGACTCCTCCCACTCTTTAATTACAGAGCCCCTAACAAGCTCCAGGAGACACCTCCTCCCCAAGCCCAGGGGACTGACTTTGAAAACTCTTTTGAAGTCAACTTGACTTACCAAGTCAAAAGGAAGGCCTTGCTGTTGGGGGGGTGGGGGAAGGAAACGCTGCCGAGGAGATTTCTCCCCCTCTCTCCCTGTGGTCTCCCTCCCCAGAGACAGCTACCTCCAGGCCTCCCTCCCTCCCTCTCTCCCAGCCCCCCAGGGCTGACTCATAAAGGTTAATGCCAGCAATGATTCCTTTCCTAAGTGCCACGTCCCGATGACATTGGCTCCGGGGACAGGTGGGGGCTCCTCCCCTGGGGTGATCTTGAGGTGCCAACCGTTGGTTAGGCAGAGGTGATCCACCCCTCTCCCCCATCCCACTTCATGTCAGCAGCAGGTAACTAATGGGCAGCTTGAATCTGCCCCCACTGGGGGAGGCGTGCTGGAAAACCATGGATTTCTAACTGCAAAGGTCATTCAGTCCAACTCTGCCTACGGGCAGGAAGCATAAGATCTCTGGTAATGAATGCTTAGAGAGCTGGGGAAATAAAATTCCCTGCTTTCTCTGGCTGCCCATGGGAGGTTCCTAAGGGAGTCAGGGTGTAAGAACCCTGGTTTCCCGGCCCTGGGAGGAACCCTGCCTGGCCTGTTAGCTCCCGCGCTTCTCCCAGGGCTGTGACTCAACCTTTTCCCACGTATGGCAGGCCCGTAACCCCCTGAGGGCAGTTCTCAGCTTCAAGGTGCCACAGCTCAAAGCCTCACCAACTGAGAGCAGGAGGCGGGAGACTGAGGACTAGAATCAGAGCCCTCAGGGGCCATCTGGAGCACCTCCAACTTGTACCTACACAGCATCCCTAACCAGTGGGCTTCCAGATACTGCCTGAAGACCTCCATGGACAGGGAGCTCATCCCTGCTCCAGGCAGCCTACTGCCCCCCCCTTCTGACGATAACCAAGCTTTTCTTCCCCTCCAGCCCAAACTGGCCCCTTGGCAGCTCCGACCTAGAGTTCCTGGGTCTGCCCTTTGAGGCCGGGTGAGACAAACCTGATCCCTCCGTGACAGATGACAGATCTTAGGATCCCTACGGGTACAGACTCAGCTCTGGAAGAGACCTCAGGGGGTATTGAGTCCAGCTCCCTTATCTTACATTACAACAAAGACATTTTGGAGATGAGAAAGCAGAGGCCCAGGGAGTGGGTTACATGTCTGGCCCAAGGTCATACACACAGCAACAGGCAGAATTTGAACCCAGGTCGTCTGATCTCCGAGACACTCAAAGTCACAATCATAGTAAGAGGCAGAAGGAAGATTTTAACTCAGTTCCCAGCACTCTAAATCCCACACTGTCCCCTCCGTCCCCCCAATATATAATAAATTTTGTGGCCTTGAGCAAGACCCTTCCCCTCATGAGGCCTCAGTTTCCTCACCTGTAAATAAAAACAGCTAACCTTCAGTCCAATCAATAAAGCACACATTTGTTCAGCGTTCCTATGGGCAAACATCAGGCCTCCAATCTACAAATTGTCTTACACAGATGTTTCCTTGATCACTGATGTTATCTTAAGTTATCCTCAGGACAACCTCTTCAGACAGACAGCACAAACATTATAATTCCCATTTTACAGATGAGAAACCGGAGACCCAGAGAGCTGATCACCCAACTGATCAGTAGAGGAGCGAGGTCTCTTCTGACTCCAAATACCCTCATGGGGGCCACTGGAAAAGGAGGGGGCCCAAGGCCCCTCCCAACTCTGACATTCTATGCTCTAAGGTTCCAATGGTCTGTGTTCTAACGTCCCTCCCATCCTAGGTGCTAAGGCCTCTCCCAGCCCGGACGTTCTCTGAATCCAGCCTAGCAAGCAATGGTGTGGGGGATCTGGCTGGATTGGCTGAGGGTGGGGGGTGGGATGAGAAGGCAGAAAAAGCAATGCCTTCCCCGCTATGGGAAGAGCCATAGACCATCTTATGGCATAGCCTGTTCTCAGGAAGATGCTCGTGTGTGTGTGTGTGTGTGTGTGTGTGTGCTCACACACATAAAATATGGATATGTATACAATGTACAACTGGCCTTCTGGGAGTCTGAGCAGGGGCCCAGAAGATGGGAAGCCTTTAAAATCAGCCCTGAACAGAAAAAAACTGGGAGTGACTGCACAAAGAGAAAATTGAATCAGAGACAGGTCTAAATTGCCTAGTGACGGTTACAAATGATCTGATGTGGAAAATAAGGGATCAGATGTGTACATAACAATGGGGTTGCCACCCCCTTCCCAAGCGTACAACAAAGAAACAGCCCCAAGCAGCTGGGAGGCTTTGGGGGCTCCCCCCTCAGGTGAAGACGCTGGAAACCCTAGGGCCTTGGAGGGCCAAGGAAGTCTTCAGGCCATGCCAACTGCATTTAGGCCCTGGGATGGATAAGGTGGATTCAGGCATTCACACTAGGGAATTTCCAGGGAGCTAATGTGTTAAGACTATGGTTCCTTTAACATAATTTGGACAGTCATTGGCAAGATAAATCCTGGGCTTGAAGAGGGATGGGGGGTGGGAAGGGGGAGAAGCTGTGTAATTATGGTATTATTCCAAATATAGGCCATGATGCTTAAAATGAGATCGTTTTGAAAGGAAGAAAAAAAATATATATATATAAAGGCATACTATAAAAAATCCCAACATGGATTAGAAGGCACACTCAGGTTTTCGATGAGCCAGATTTTGAGGAAAATATACCACCTATATGCAGAACAATAAGGTCTACCAGTATTCTAAGTTGGCCAAGGGCCACTCAGCATTTCTGGGACGTTGAGTGGAATTTGAGTGGCAATACGGGGGGGGGGGGGGGGAGATTTGCCCGTACAGAGAAACAGAAGACTTGGTTCATCCCTGACCTCAGGGAGAGCAGAGGAGATGAGACACACACGTGAACAATCAGAGAAGAATCAGAAGAGTGAGGGGAGAGGATGAGACAGTCATGGAATTAAAACAGCTCAAGCGTCGTCTCTGAAAAACATGCCGCCGTTGATTAGGAGAAATGGGAAATGACTGAGAGACACAGGTGGATCTGGACCAGCATTAGGGCCCTTCCCAAGGTCCCCCAGTTCCCCTTCAGATGGTTTCTTCCCCCATTAGAATCCAAATGCCCCGAGGGCAGGGATTGTGCTCAGCTAGTGCCAAGCACTTAATAAATGCCTCGTGTATTCTACACAGACTTACCAGTACTTCACCAGGAGCTCAGAGGTGAGGGCTCATACCTACCTCCAAAGACAGAAGGACAACCCCCGAATCCTCCTCAAGACAGCATCATCCCCTCCTCAGACAAATTTCTTATACCCAGAGATGATGCCACACCCCACTTGTCTTGTCCCTCCCCCCAAACCGGTCATGACATTGAATGCTAGGTAGCTCAGCCACTAAACTCACCACCAACAGCATTTATTAAGTCCTTGTTATGAGTCAGGCACCGTGTGAAGTACTGGGGAATGAAAAGGAAGGGAGACACATCTTTGCCCTCGGAGAGTGCACCAACAACATGTGAATTTTAGGTCCCTACAAGATTTATAGGAAGAGGTGACCTGAGATGGGAAGATATTAGCAGCTGGGGGACTGGGCAAGGCCTCCTGCAGAAGGGGGAGCTGAGTGTTGGAGGATGTCACTTAGATCAAGAGGCAGAGGGGAGGGAGTGAGGACAAGTCACTTCCAGGCAAGGCGCTCTCCAGCGTAGAGATGGCGATGGGAAGTGAAGGCGTTGGGCCTTCCTCCCCCTTCATGGGCCTGTTTCCTCTTCTGGAAAATGAGGGGATTGAACTGGATCCCTCCATCTCCAGGTCTGTGGGAACACAGAGCTCAGGGTCCCTGGCACTGAAACAGGCTGTGTACTGAGTGCCCCAGTCCCGCCCTCTGCTGAACGAAGCCCTGGTTCCCCCACATCCTGCGCCCAGCCTGGCACAGCTGCCTCTGGAGCTCCTGGGGGAGCGGCATCTGAAGTGACCCTGAAAGCCGAGACTCTGGGATGATACCCAACGGCTCTGGCGAAACCTGAAGACGCACAGCAGCTGGAATGAGAGGACCCTTCCCTGCCCAAGGGAGGCTGGGTTCTGAGAGGCAGCTGTGGAGGCAGGGGGATCACGGGGTTACTGACTATGGGGGGGCCAGAGGGGGTGTGGCAGGATGTTAGAGCAGAGGCAGTGATCCCAAGCCAGCTGGGCTCCCCTAGACCAAATCTCAGCCTCCCAGTCCAAAGCCAACGCAGCACCTGTCGCTGCCGCCGCGTTCTTATGGGGTCTGAGCTTACCCAGGGTAAGGATGGGCATCTCCCAGGCCCTGCCTGGCCTCTGCAGACAGGAGCCTGGAAAGATGGACCAGCTAACAGTAGCCAAGCTTGGCCCCAAAGCCTCGGTGAGAAAGCACGCGCCTGGCACCTTCCGGGGCCTATGGGTGTGCAACATGACCCATACCGTCAGACTCAGCGGATGCGTCAGCTCATTTTGCCAACTTATTTCAGTCTTTCTTTTTTAATTCTTTGTTATGAGTTATGGGTCTGGGCAGAGATTCTGGGATATATTTGGAAATGAAGGTGACATAAAAATAAAAGATAACACTAAGGTATTTTAAAAAGACTCACTGGGCCTAGCTGGGGGTGGGAAGGACCCTGTTGCCAAATCAGCCATGCTCCTCAGAGGGACTGGAACCAGGGAGGAAGATTTCCATTGTAGACTGGAATGCACCCACTGATTAGCTACAGAATGTCAGAGCTAGGAGGGGCCTGAGAACAGAGGATGTCAGAGCTGGGAGGGGCCTGAGAACTGGGAATGTCAGAGCTGGGAGGGGCCTCAGAACTGGGAATGTCAGGGATGGGAGAGAACTTAGAACTGGGAATGTCAGGGCAGAAAATGACCTTGGAATAAAGAACACGAAATGCCAGCGTTAAGGAGACCTCAGTGTACCAGAAGATAATAATAGCTAAGTGCATTGGTACGTCAAGGTTTGCGAAGTGCTTTACACATGCTATCTCATTTGACCCTCCCAACAGCCCTGAAAGTAGGTACTGTTATCATTCCAATTTTACAGATGAGAAAATGGAAGGAAAGGTCAGTGACTTGCCCAGGGTCACACAGCTAGTAAGTGTCTGAGTCCAAATTGGAACCCAGATCTTCTTGACTCTAAGC